AATTATTGAGATCTTATAAACGCGCTTCAGCAATCTTTGAGGCATTAAAATTTTAGTCAAATAATTTATCGAAATAACTTTGAAATCCAGAAATTAATTTATTTACTAGGATCCAAAAGAAATAAATGTACGCTAGGTTTCGTATGTTTATTTAAACTGTTATGTAAATAGGACCCTGAATAGTTTCAAAACATTTTGTGCATTGGCTTGAATATAATAATCTCAAAACACTCAAAACAGTGATGCAATGGTACAATGCGATATTTGTCTCTTTGGGTAAATTTCACGAATTCAGTTATGCAAGAAGGTGTGATGAGGTTTTAAATGAAATATTCTCGGCCTTTTATTTCACTTTCGAACGAAAAAGACTTACAATTTTCGTTTTAATATTTGAACTGTAGCCAGTTGAAATGATGGGTTTGGAATTTGGTACCTATATATATATATATATATGGATTGTTGATTGCTCTAAAGTTATGATACCTATAAAGCAAACATACTTTTGAACTCTGGATTTTTTTTAAATGACAATTTACATTCAAACAAGAATAAATGCATTAATCAGTTTTAATTCTAGCATAATATGCAAATTAATTTCCTGAATTAAAATTAAAATAATCTTTCTTAATTTTTCGCATCTTTTTCCTAGCAGGCAAAAACGTTTCCCTGCAGTTTAGGAGAAGCTAACGGTACTTCTCTAGTATAAATGAACGTGTACAACAAAAATTACAGCAGGCAAATTCATCTGTCACACCCCTTTCGTTCAAATTGAGGAAAAGCAATTTAAATATAACACTGAATTTGAATTACTTTATAAGGTATTTCTCCCATCTTGTTAGCATGCCTACGTGGTTCGTCAGCAAGCTCGGCGCGTATTTGAGAGGTCCGAGGTTCGAGTCCCGGCGAGGGCATTGCTCAGTTTTCCAGTCTCTAGATTTAAATAAACCTAATGTCTCTACAGTGGCGCCCGAACTAAAAAAGGAGGTGGATGATGATTCTCCACCACCAGGATTTGGCGATGGGGTCCTCTAATCCCCAGTTGCCCTCTAAAAGGGGAAGTATATATGGTATTTCTCCCGCCTTCTTAACATGCCTTCGTGATGTAACGGTGAGGACTCTCGGAGCGTATTCGAGAAGTCCGAAGTTCGAGTCCCGGCGAGGGCATTGCACATTTTTTATGTCTTCTGCTTCCAAATAACCTAACACTCACCTGCGGCCGAGCGGTAAAGTCGCTGAACACTGGTAGTTCGGTCCGAGGTTCGAATCCCACGAACGGGCTGGCTGCATGGGTGTTTTCCCCATGTGTAACGTGTATAAGAGCCAGTTTCCCTTAGAAAGTCCTCCACGAAGGCATCCCTTCCTTAGGAAGATAGTCCTCGAGGCTTTGCCGTAATTAAATAACCTAACCTAACCTAACCTAACCTAACCTAACCAAATAACCTAATGTCTTCTACAACTTTAATGTTTTCTCATATTTTAATAATGGATTGAGTTTACGTTAGTATTAATTAAAACAAATCATAAAAATAAAAGCTAACTGCAGTAATGTAAAATTAACAACATTTTTAAAAGTTACCAGATATGAGTTGCTTTTTTTTTTTTTTTTTTTTTTTTTTTTTTATCTTATGTGGACACCACATGAATTTCTTGTACGGCTTATTAACTATACATACTTTTTGACGCATTTCATTTAAACTGATCTTCTCGAATTTCACTAGAGATAGATTTCTCATTCAATTAATTTTTTCACTTCACGGCAAAGCAAAAATACACAAAAACTCAAAACATCTTCATTAAAAATTATAAAACACAAAAAACATAAAACACCAAATACAGTTCAAAAGAGTTTATTAAAAAAAAAAAACTTAATAGTTAAAATTAGAATTTCTACGCCAGCCAGCAGGCAGGAAAACAGACTTTCGGTGCGCCAACCTGAAAATTTACTTTTCATCCCACACGGCAAAAAGACTCTGAAATTGGTGCCCAAACTGACTTAATTCACCATTCTACTAAGAGTGTCAAATGTAAACAAATGGCGGCTTCGCTAGGCTTAGAGAGACTTAAACAGCTTTTAAATTGTTGCTAATTCTACAACTATTGCATGCAGAATAACTAATTAACCAAAGGCATAAAAACCTTATTCTTTAAGTCTCTCTCTCTTTATATATATGTGTGTCACTTTTTTTTAAAAAATGCATAATTTTAATTGTGTATTGAAATATAAAAAGTATGTTTCAGCTATTACAGCATTCTCGTCATATTTATGAAACAATGAAAGCGTAAGGCACCTGCAAGCGCAGCTGACTGAGACATTTAACAAAATGTTCAGCCACAATAGGACTGATAACATATAAATAATATATATGTGTATACATTTAAAAATTTTTGCTTTTTGTAGTTCATATTTTAATTTTAGTCATGTATGGCCAAGAATATTGGGATAACTAGAAAAACAGATTTTTTTTAAAATTTTTATTTATTATTGCATTTAACAAAAAAAAAAAAAAAAAAAAAAAAGGAAAACAAATAAAGAAGAGGTATATGTGGCTATGCATTTCGAGATAAACTGTGTAGGGGAAAAAAAAAAAAAAAAAAAAAGACTAACATAAATTGTAAAATGCAAGTAAAATTTTAAATTAAAAAATTTTTAAAAATTAACTGTATTTAAAACAGAATACTACACGAACAGTAGAAGAAATGGAAATGAATTTTAGTAATACTTCACTTCTTTTTAAGGTAACTTTCATTTCCCCTCTTTCATCCCAGAAGTTTAGCACTGTTTTTTCCTTTTCATGTGTTTTAAAAATGAAATGTTGTCTGTATTTTATTTGAGAGTACCAAATTATATATACATTAAAAAAATTGCTGAATTTATAAATGTTTAACTTCTTTTTGGTACAACTTAAAAATTTTACTTTCGTTAAATTTGATTTCGAATTTTCGATTTTTTTACTGATGACTAAATGATTTTCACCAATTTGGTAAGATTGCTATATCGTCAGAATGATTGCTTCACCTATCAAATAAACTATTCAAATGGAAATAGAAAAATACCGACATTCAACTAAAATAGCCCACTTATGGGCTATTTTTAAAAATCCCTCTTTTTTTTTTTTTTTTTTTTTTCTTTTCCCAAATTAAATAGGAACAGCAGAATGTAAATAGGCAAATTCAGCATCATAGAGAGAATCGAATATGTAGTTACTTTCAAAGATTCAAATCAAAGATTACTGTTCTTAGTCAACAAGCATGCCTAAATAATCGAAATATTTATTACCAATGGCTGAACCAATAACAATGCTAAACATGGTAATTCGCCCTGACTTCGAAAAGGTTAGCTGTGTGGGAGGAGTCGCTTTCGTGATAAAAAAGTATCTGTAAATACGAGACAGTTTCTCTTAAAAAATGCTCCACGAAAGCTCCCCACTCTTTTAAGTATATTCTTTGTATCCTTGACGTTAAACAAGTAACAATCCAATCTGCATTAAAAAATTCGCAATCATTTCATTTAAAGTAAAAAAATCTGAAATGCTGACTGGCATTACCGATCAGTCATATAGTCAAACAGGAAAAATTCACAGAAAATTCAAGAACACCGAATGAAAGATAGCCTCTCTTTCTCTCTTTTTTTTTTTTTTTTTCGTCCATAAATCGCCAAATAAGATACACTTCTCAGAACCATAACTAATTTTGCAACTTCTTACAATTTTGTAATCGAAATGTTCTCCTCGTTTGAAACAGTATTATGAAACCTAAGTAGTTTCGAAGAAGGAATCAGTGTTTATGAACGTGCAGTGTATTCGTGCAATGCTAAAAAATACAATAAATGTGTCAAAATAACTAAAATTGAGCACTGATAAATCATAATTACAATACAATACAGGATTATCAGGTAACGAATTCTACAAATCAGTTTATGTAACCCTTCCGTCAATGATAAAAATAAAATGAAAATAATGCTTAGTGAAATGAGGAGAGATAAAATCAGGTTCTCTTTTTGTTCAGATTATTCCTCTGTTTTCTTTTCCCCACGTTATTTTTAGTTCAGTTATCTACGTGATTGAAGATGTAAGAGATATGAATGTAATGAAAATGTAAATAAAACATTTTCTATTACTCTGTTTTAAACGTATAATTTGACTGAAAACTGACAGTGCATAGCTAGTTGCAATAAATTTAATTTCAAAGGAGGGCCACAGAAATAATTTCTAACGTATCTTCCCTCCTAATACGTTTGAATACAGTAAATTCATTTTAAAATTCGAAGTTCTTATGTTTAATACCTGAAAATTATTTAATTCCTGCCGAAAAGACTTCCCTTCTTCTCTAAGAAAATTCTCTTTTTAAAATTGCATTGTAATAAATAAATAATTATTTAACCATTTTATTTAACAGTAACACTTAAAACGCGTTGTTGCTTTCACTGCGATCTAAGAACACGTCTCTAAATAATTTTCAACAATGACCCTTATGGCAAAGATAAAATTATATCTGACATTAGTATTCTTAAAATGAATTAATTTTATTCCGAATAAAACACAAAGACGTTATTGATAACCAATTAAATACAGATTTACTAATATTTATAAATAACCGAATAATGAAAGCAAATAAAAAATGAGTTAAATGAAAAAATTTCTCTAAAGAATCTCATGAGTTTGATGATATAAAACATTACAATAAAATTGAAGAACTAATTTTTGGTTGGTAATTAAAAATTTTGCTTTTAAATAAAGCGAAATTAATTAGAGATCGAAAATGAAGTTCACATGCACTTCAAAAATATAATATTGAGAATGGAGATTTAAGACCATACTCTTTCTCTCTGCTTTTAAAATTTGAATCTCCAAGAATAAATGTAATATAATCCAGTGCTGTTTGGAAGCAGTTAAAATCATTTAAATAAAGTGCTTTAGATCTATGCGTTTAGTTTGAATACCCCATGGAAAATGGTTGAAATTCTTGACTTTTTAAGATAATTTATTTAAATTTAGACTTACCGCTATTTTTTGTATCTTTTTTGCGGTGTTCGGTTGTAACGTTGTAAAAGATGTGTTCCAGCATACCCACAAGGACGCAGAGAATTTTCTTTGTCAAACGAACGAAAGCAAAGGTGGCCGCTCACACCGAAAAAAAGACCTTTCTGATGACCGAATGACAGACGACTGTACCGGCATGATCCTCACCTTATGCTCTTATATCAAGACCACACCGGCCGCTAGTTTCATCAAAATGAAGACACAACCGCGGGATGGGTATGCCTCACTCGGCGCTTTATCGCTCTTTTGGTGCAAGGCTGTTAGTTGCATACCTGGGGAACTGGCACGTGACCTACCGCACAATCGCGGAAGATAAAACACGACCGTTCTCCCTTCCTCGCCCCACCCTCAAATCGAACGGAACAAGATAAGCAATCTGCCTCTAAATTAATCTAAACTCAGGCCGCCGTTTGTAGTACTGCTTATCGAGGGTCACGTAATCGGTTTGTGGTTGAGATGAGCTATTAGCTGTACAAACGAACACCCCAGGCTAAATGAAAATTGATGAGGAAACCCGAACAAGTCCAGCAAATAAAGAATTAAAATAATCCTGTGGTTGATATGAATAACAAAAATCCTCTCTTTTCCAAATGCATTCATAACTGAATTAAAAATTAGTAACAACAGTAATCAAAGCTTAGTGTATCGAAAAAAAGAAAAAAAAAATCCTTTTCTGGACTCCGACACATTTTTATCGGAAGTTCTAACTGATCAAATAGAGTTAAAACTCATTCATGTCGATTGACCTGCTCAAATGAGAGGCCACGGTTAGCGCGTCGCGCAGCAGCACCATAGGTCCGGGGTTCGATTCCCGAGCTGGGAAAGGTTGATTCACCTTTTCATCCCTTGAGAGAGGGTCCATAAAATAACTACCAAGTTCGCTTGAGGACTAAATATCGAGGGTCTTGCGACAAGCTGACCACTTGTCCAGGCAATATGCAAAACATCTCGGAGCCCACGGTCTAGAAAGCAGATATCAGGGCACTGCTGGCCATGGACTTCTAAGGGCATGGACCCTAAGCGAATAGAGGACTTCGGAGATCACTTTCTAAGGATAACTGCGTCACATTATACATGGCAAACACTGTAAAAAACACTTTGCATTCATCCAGTTTTATGGAGGTTGAAACTAAACAGACTATCGGTATTCAGCAGTGTCTAAAAGAAAAGGGAACTGTTTGAATAGTAACAGTAACAATTTATTCTAAGTGGAAAAAGAAAGGAGATCGAGATTGAGCACTAGTTGGAACAGCTGAATGAACTAAGATATTGAGTTCAAAGAGAGAGTTTGATGTTTAAGGTGTTTTTTATTATTTTGAGTTCAAAGAGAGAGTTTATTCTGAATTTCGAACAAATATTTTTAGACCAAATGAGCTGTTCAAACTTATTCCGCCCGTTTGATTAATATAATTATTTTAATACTTGAATTTTTTCTAACCAAAGAAGAAAACGTTTTTCACCTATATTAGAAAGTGAAATATTAAAAAAAATCTAGTTTGATCTATGAGGGTTTTGAATGAGCTTAATGCGTATGTACCCTCCACAATAATTAATATTTAACGTTTATCTTAGAAAATACTTTTATAATCACTTCATTATTTTAAAGTTATTTGAAACTAATACGTTTATTTCATTTTAACTCTGTGTAGATTACGGAAAGAAAACTCTGTCCTTTCTTATACAGCGTATCATGTTAAAAACAAAGTAGATTAGACATACCAAATACAAAGTAACAAAAAAGACCTTATTTTAGGGAAGTTGCACATAGTAAGATATCACTCAATGCAATCAAATTTTGAATTCTATTCGCGATCCAAGGAGAGGATCGCAATTAACTAATTAATCGCTTAAAAAAGTACCCACTAGAATGAAGGGGTGTTTTTACTAACACCAGTGCAACTGGTGTGGCCGCAAGGCGGCAAAATATTTAGAATTTAGTGAATCGCTGAGCAGCAAAATTTTAAGAATTCAGGGGAGACTCTAAGCAGTAGAGTTTAGGGTTAGTTACTTTTTTTACATCTTATATAGTCTATAGAGTACAGAATTTAGGAGTGGCAGAGATAGTACCGAGAGGCAAAATGATTAGCGCGAGTGCTGAAAAACATAAATCCTGTCCTAGCAAAATAAAATTTCGTAGAGGGGATCATGCTTCGAAAGCTGAAAGATGAGAAGAAAGGAAAGAATTTGGAAGCATCTTTGGCACATATTGTCGTTGTGCAAAACTAAGACTCGTAATTTTTCTTGTATGTTGTCAAAATCGGCAAAGAAAAAAAGTCTTTTACTTCCTTGTGCGAAGTAAAGGCAGTATTATAATCGCGAAACATTTCGAGTATCATATTTCAACGAAAATATCCATTTCAACCGCCCTCGAAACCATTTGAACGATGTTTTTGCATGGCATCTGTACGTACGTTCAGAATAAAGGACTATTTTTGCCAAAAATGATTGTATAATAGAATTAAAAGGAATTCAAAAGAGTTTTTCCCTTGACGTCTGTACGTACGTACGTATGTATGTATGTATCTAGCATAACTCAAGTAGCCGTAGAACGAGTAGCATAACGAGTAGCCCTAGAACGTTGAAATTTTGTATATGGGACTGCTGTAACATATAGTTGTGCCCCTCCCTTTTTTGTTGCAACTGGCTGCACAAATCGTATATAAATAAATGTATATATGTTACCATTCTAATATCTGGCTCATTGAAGTTAGTTTTTTAGTCTTATATGTTAGTAAATTGTGCATTTTTCGCTTTAAAAGTCATTGAATTATGTGTTTTTTATGTTCCGGTTAAGGTTTTTATGCCTTTAGTTAATCTGCATGAAATAGTTTTAGAATTATTAACAGTTTAGAAGTGGGGAGTTAAGCCTAATTAACCGCCATATGTTTACATTTGAAACTCGGTAGAATAGTGAAGTAAGTCAGTTTCTGCTCCTTGAATGTCCTTTTTGCCGAGTGAGACCAAAAGTCAACTTTCAGTTTTGCATACCGAAAATTGCTTGTTTTTGCGTAGAGATTCTAATTTTAATTGTGAAAATTGTTTTTTTTTAACTGCATTTGGTGCTTTATACTTTTCTGTATTTTAAAATTTTTAATGAAGATGTTTTGAGTTTTTATGTATTTTAGCTTTGTTGCGAAGGAAGAACTAATTTGAGTGAGAAATAGATGCGAGGAAATAAGTTAAAATTAAATGCAGCAAAAAATGTGTATACTTTAATAGGCCAAGCAAGGAAGTCACGTGGTGTCCACATCAGATTTTTTTATATAATCTTTTAGATTTAATCAATCTGTTATTGACTAAGGGAATCTGTTATTGACTAAGGGATTAAACTAAGGGATTTAAAAGAATTAATTGTACTTTTATAATAATATATATTTTTATTTTACCTCTTTTAATAATATGGCTAACATTATACAAATTTAAGCATATTTAATTCACATTATATCTATTGGATAATTTTTATGAGCATTTACAATTTTGAAAAGATATATCTAATGTCATGCTAGATGACTAGCATCGAGTCATTTATTTTTTACCTTTTCAAGAAGTTTTCCCCTTTACGTGATTTAATAATTAAAAAAAAAAAAAAATTCCTGCGATTTTTAGTTGCAGACTTCGTATACTCTTCACTAAGGTGTAGACTGTCATCTGAAGTTTTCAGATTGCGATTGGCTTATTTATTTAATATGATGCGTTGCTGTATGCTTTATTTTGCATTAAATTCAGCTGCCAATTTCTCTTTTAGAAAACCAGTCCAGCAAAACCTTTTCGTGAAGAAATATTAATTTTTTTCTATGCTCTTTATTTTCCTGCTCATTTTTGCTACTATCCTGTCTATGTATTTGAAAATAAGGCCTTTTTATTTTGCTTTTGAAGTTCAGTGTGTTGCCAACTATAGATTGCGTAATAAAAGTACTCAGAAATTATTTGTATATTACTCTCTGTCTGCTTATTCCTTTTTATTCGTTTTTTTTTAAACTTGATTCAGAAATAAATTATTAGCTGCTTTTTTTCTCTTCACTTTATACTGAGAGATAAATTTCACGCTGATATATAATCTCATATTGGCAGAGGAATTTGTGTGAGAAGTTAAAAACTAATATTACCCCAAAGCATTAAAAATGGATATATGCAAACCATTTTTATAATAAACTGAATTTGAACGCTTTCGAAATGCCTTAAAATAATGAAAAGGATTTTGATAGGAACTATTTTGTTTCTTCCTTTTTCAAATATATATCTACATTTCAGTCGTCTAAAGTAAATATCCAATTTCCACCTCATCGACAAGGTGTTTAACATATTGAAAATATTTGGGTTAAGTTTTCTATGAAGGATATTTATTAAAAATTATGTAACGGAGGTTGATTGAATTATAAAATATCTAATTAGTAAACTGAATTTTAAAAAATCCAATAATACTATTATTTGTGCATCATACATTTTTCACAAATTTATATTATATGAAAATTTCCCTTATTTCGAAACTATTATGTTTGTTATATAATGTTAATTAAGAATCTTCGTCAAAAGTAATTTAGTATCTGCCTTTTCCGTCAGAGGCAAAAGCAGGTTACCATATCTCATTTTTAAATACATATTATTTTTTTTAATCCTGTGCCATTGTCCATACTTCTTGGGAGTAAAACGCTGAACGACAGCATGAACTGTAAATTTGTAGCAAAAGAATTCAGTTTTAATGATTAAGCTGTAGAGACATTAGCTTATTCCGAAGCAGGGGATGTGAAAAATGAGCAAAGCCCTCCCCGGGACTCGAATCACGGACCTCTCGAATACGCGACGAGCGTGCTCACCACTACACCACGAAGGCATGATAAGAAGACGGGAGAAATACCTTATACACTCCCCTTTTTAAAGGGCGACTGGAGATTAGGGGACCCAATAGTCAAATCCTAATGGTGAAGAATCATCATCCACCACCTGTTTTAGTTCGAGCGCCAATTTAGAGACATTAGGTTAGGTATTTTGGAATTTGCACATTAAAAAAATGGGCAATATGCAGGAAATAACATTATTCAATTTAAAATACGTATCTCTATTTCTCTGTTCTAAATCTACTATATTAGTTTAACTTCAAAAAAAAAAATTACTTTTTCAAACTGATTATAAATATTGTGAATTTGCTGTGTACTGTGTTAGCTCCCAACATCATTTTTGCTATTTCCGAAAACATATTAGTCTCATGTTTTCGGAGATCTGCAGAGAAC